CACCATCAACAGCAGCTGTAAAGACATTTCACCATCACACACTCGTTTTTTAAAATCTTCTTTTTCATCTCGGCTCACGCACATAGTGACGTTCAAAGACGCAGGAAACAGGAAGTAGCAAATCCACTTGATAGCAAGCACAGAGGGGCAAGAATGTGAGTCGTTTGGTGTAAGGGGGGCAGGGGAGGCAGAGGTAACTGCACACAGGGAAAATTATCTCAAAATAAACAGGAAATCATCAACACAAATAGTCGAGGAAAACAAAAACACAACAACTGTTTTTCTTCTTGTAAATTTCCACCAGGAGCATGATGGGAAATAATCTCAAAAGGAATCTAGTCTCGCAAATAATGACCCTGCAAGTCTTCTACAAAATCTCACAGAGAGACACTAAAAACCATGTGACATGTGACACGAGGGAGGTAACAGGACACAAGGAAGATCATTTCAAAATAAAACAGGAAATCATAAATACAACAGTCATTTTAGGGGCAGATCATGACAAATATAGAACTTTATGTAATAAATACTACTACTAATACTACTAATAATAATAGTGACCCTACATGATGTGTGTGATAAACATTAGAGACACACAACAAGAACTCAGTCTGACATATAAACTGTAAGAAGAAAGAGTGAAAGAGTTAAACGTCCTAAATATGAATGCAAGTGACAAACACCACGCAGTCGCATGTAAATGTAAATTGCATATTGTGTTTCCCTGCCAGGAGACACCCGACGCCAAGTGAACATCAGAATGCGTGCAGCAGGAACACAGTGTGCAGGAGGCAGGATGGAGAAAACGCTCAGTCTCTGCACCGCACTGATCCGCCACATCACAAATCACACGAGGGTCTTTCTCTAATCTGCAGAAGAATAATCCCAGCTCCACTTTCACTCTCTCTCTCTCTCTCTTCGTTTGGGACGGGAAGATGCCGATTCCAAGAGAACGCCTCGCGGTGCGAACATATCACATTTCTCCTGTTTGACACCTCATATAATGCCACTCCACTAACACACTCCCAAAGCCGCAAAAAGCTGGCACGCTTCGTTGACCTGAGCGACTCCAATCCACCTCTCACTATCCACTCCGATATCCGGTTACATACGACAATAACAGCAGGATAAACTGTCCTTATTACTCAGGTGATTTAGTGTCAGGCCACCGTACCTCGGCCCAGGCTACACTCACCTCCATTGTCCTTCACAAACATCCAGCCAGCAGAATAAAGCAGACATCGACTGATACCACCGGTTCCCACCTAGAGATGTTTTCCACATTCATGCCTGAACACACGGCCTGGAGCTTTGGCCTGCCTCCTGAAAATGGAGCAAGTGTTCTGTTCAAACGTATCGAGCAATGCTAGAGACGAAAGGTGTGAAGCTTCTGGGTTTTATGAGACACCTCATTGATGCCGCTCTCATGTCGGTATGTTAAATATGCAGCTGATTAGCTTAGCTTAGCATAAAGTCATAGAAACAGAGAGCTAGCCAAAAAGGAACAACAGCACATTTTGTTACACGTGTTTTGCTGCCTTTGGGCAGAGCCAGGCTAGCTGTTTCCCCCTGCTTCCAGTCTTTGTGCTAAGCTAAGCTACCTGGCTGCTAGCTCCAGCCTTATATTAAAGGTCTCATATAGTCTAAAGGTCTCTGTCCATGTGTAGTGTGATTATAGATCAGCTCTAGCTTCTATATTAATACTGTGAAAGTATCAAAGCCTCAGTCCACAGAGAAATGCACACAGCCTGTATTCAGAAACTGAGCCTTAAAACCAGCCGTCAGGACTTCCTGTAACTTTGTGATGTCACAACAAAGCAGCCACTGCTCCGTAACTAAAACACAGGAAAAGTGTAAAATGTGGGACCTTGAAGTGTAATCAAGCTACAAAACGTTTCTCATAGTGTCAAACTTTTCCTAAACACGTGGATCATGTTTCCTGCATCTCGTGAATATTTGCTGCAAGTAAAAAGAGAAAGACAGATACAAACACTGTCTCTCACCAGCAGACAAATCCTCCACACAATTCTCTGCATTGACATGTAAAAACTAACCCCCCCCCCCCCTTTTTCTCTCCTGTTATAATTCCTGCGGTGCAGCATCACGTCCATGAGAGAAACTTTTGTGCTGGATTGTGAGGACATCCCCGCCCGGAGCGACGCGAAGCTCCGTCAGCCAAAAGCCTGATTAAGTCCCAGCAGTGGAGTAATGAGCGGCGCAGTCAGACTCAGAGACGAGGCTGACGCACACAGACACAAAAACACTCACAAAACAGGAGCATATGTGAGACAGCAGAAACAAACACACACACACACACACACACACGCTCACACACAGAAGGATTTGTGCTGAGCCTCTCTCTCAGTAGTATTGGTGGCCCTGATTACTCAAACTAAAGCCAAACAGTCCCCGCCCTGTCAGCAGCACCACTGCAGGCCACAGCATGAATAAGACATGAGGAGCGAAAATACTAAGGATGGCTGCGCTCTGTGGCAAATCCTGTCATGTGGCAAAATTAGACACAGTACACTGACAAAACAACACAGTCACACATACCCGGGCGCTGCTAACGAGTCTCGCCACAAGGGAAAGTCTGCGCCAAGTAGGTCAGTAAACGACGGTGAACGGTGGATCGTCTGCGCTCGTGTGTGTGTGTGTGTGTGTGTGTGTGTGTGTGTTTGTCATCTTTCGCCCTTCAGCGGGTTAAAGCTGAACACTTGATGAAGGCCACGGTGCCAGACAGTTGTTTGGCTAAAAGGAGGGGTCATTGTGGGGTAAGCCAAGGCTGAGTGTGCGCTAAAATCTCCGTCTCCGCTTTCATTAAAACACACTCGACTCTCTGCGGCGGCGAGTCTTGAAAAGTTGCTGCTTGCTGAGCAACGGTGGAAGGATTTCAGGAGACTGACAGCTGCTCATCAAAAGGCATCGAGCTTCCGGTCTGAACCATGAGCTGGAACTTGTAGATGAAGGCTTTACTGAACTGTGAGCGAGCGAGAGTGAACGCACCTGAGACCAACACGTGCCGCACAATCAGTGGCGCTGCAGCTTCACAATGAACCGAAGATATTCGACTATTTGGAAACACATGGAGCTGTCTGCACGATTCACTCAACCCCTCCTTATACCCAGACCCAACAGACCCATCTGTCACAGTCAGAGCGGCTAAAACAATAACAACACATGCATGTTTATTCGCACATGGAGCGAGGGAAGCGATCACCTGAGACGCATGTTGATGTCCGGGCTGAACGTGGCGTCATCCACTGAGCTGAGCGGCTGTTTGCAACTTAAAAACCCACAAAAAAAACAAAAACAAGTACGGTGGCCCTGAGAGATCACAGTGACAACACGTGTGCTGCAAATACTTCTGTCTCTCAGGGCCACCGTACTTCTAAAGGAGCGTAAGATTGTATTACACCTTCAGTTAGTGGAAAGGGAAGCTCTAAGTTTTATCAGATTTTATGATACTCAACGTTGATTAGCTGCTCAATATAAAAGATAAACAGTGATTATGATAGAGGGATTTATTTGATGAGAGAGTTGTAAACTTTGATTTAGTATTGATAAGGTAAACACACTGACAGATCATCATTTCTAACCAATCATATGTTCGCAGGTCAGACGCTGCAAACTGCTGCAAACCTGTGCCGACAGAAACAGGAAATACTGCACCACAAAAAAACACCTGAAGCTTTCTCCTGGACAAAGAGTGAGGCGCTGCTAATAACACATCACACACACACACACACACACACACACACACACACACACACACACACACACACACAGGACATGATGAGGGATTAAACCTCCCTGGCTGAATTTACACAGAAAAGACTGAAGATTTAATTGTTGCTGTTGATTTTTTCCGGTTGTGCCTGGACTATTAGGAACCTGGAAGTGTCTTTATACCCTGATTTATTTTTGGGAATAGACTATTACTACATTACTGCTCTCGTTAAGGATCATTATCTTTTATGATCCGTAAATGTTTAGCTCAACGATGCTAATTGGCTATTACTAATGTTCCCTCAACGTTGCTGTTGTTGGACCAATATCCTTCGACTGCTACCAGGAATTTCACGTCTTAACATGCCAGCTTGCAGCCAACCTGCCCCCCCCCCACCGACACACAACACAGTGTAATCTGATCAGCCTGTCTTTTAGCCGCTCTGCCTTTTATATGACTCCAGGAAACATAATATGAAAGCGAACACGTCAGGAGACTCAGTTTGTCTCAAACAGCACAGAAGACTAAAGCTAAACGAGTCCTGGTGGAGTTACCTGATGCTCACGTACGCAAACACCAGCCACATAATATCACACGACCATTTCCTACCTTATATTTCTCTTTTATCAAATAATCCATCACATAATCCATATTTTGATCTTGCACTCACAGACGTCAAAGTCTGCATGATTTCTGAGAACAGAGTTTGAATTTTGACTGACAGTAAAAAAAAAAAAACAGCTAAGCTGCTGTTTTGGCTTGGCCTGGTCCATTACAGCGGGGGCCATTGTGATAATCTACCCATCTTGCACTGCAGCGAATCATCACTTGACCCAATCCCTGCGGCGAAATACAGACTTTCCCTCCGTTAAACGGGATAAATCAAAGTTGTGCTGACGAGAGGAGCCGCCCGCTGCGTCCGTATCCTGCAGCAGATATTCGTCAGCGATGGATTTCCTGAAAGTGACGGCCCACGCCTCGCCAGGAGTGGACTGGCCCTGCTGGCTTTTGCCCTGAAGTACCAGATGGCCTGTCCCAGCCCAGGCTGATAAACACAATTACCATTCCAACTCATTCTGACTGGTGACTGATAAATCTCCTGTGCTGCAGATCCTGGATAAATCAGACTAACAACATTATCGTATCTTATATTTGACGCTTCCATCAAGCAACTGGTGGGAGCGTCGTTCAGTGATGGTGGGTCATTCTGCTTAAAAGGTGAATGCACTGAAAAAGGGAGTGGCTTGGTAAAGGCAGGTGTTCGTCCTACCTGGACCTGCTCCCCCCGAACAGCCGAGTCGCCCAGCAGCGGCTCCGCGGGCGGCGTGTTGATGGTCACAGACTTTTCTGAGCGGCTGTCTTTACTGCGGGACTTGTGTCGGTCGCGGCTTCGCTCCCTGAGAAAAAAAGACAAGATCAAAAAAATGGTTAGTGTTGTATGGATGCCGCCATAAAGAAGTACCAGTACACACGCTGAGGCTTCACATCTTCCCCGGAGAAAAATAAATAAATAAAAATAAAATATTAAAATATAAATTGGAAATTCGTATTGACCTTTTATAAAGAAACAGAAGAGACAGAAGAAAACAGCAGAGACTGAGATATCCTGACTAAATCTCCACTAGATCCTACATTTCCCATGATGCACTGAGACAACACCTTTCCAGTCGGACTCAATGAATTCAATACTGGACTGGATTCCTGTTTGGTGTTCAAACACCACGTCCCCCAGTTTGTATATCGCAGGTTATAATTCATAGTATTAAAACTCAATCCGAGATAACCCGGATGACATCACTGTGACATCATCAGATTTTAAAAAGCTCTTCGAGACACACAAAATATCTCAGCTTTTATTTTGACAGGCTGAGTTTTTGCGCCTCATGTGTCTCTATAAAAACCTGAGTCTGAACATTTCCCTTCGCTTTAATGTTCGTCCTGTTTGGTCGACAACAAACACGTGACAGAAATAAACAGAGACACTGAGAGAAACATATATGAACATAATGTACACACAAAGAGATCAGGGACAGTGTGACAGCAGGCGGCTGCTGTTAGAGTCAGATAAGACCGGAGCTGCCCCCCCCCTCCCCCCGTGTGAAGTTCAAGAAATCACTGCGCTTTGTTTCAGCCTCCTTTTAATTTCCAATCACTGACTATAAAGCCCTGCGACCTCTGCCCCACATCAACCCTCTCTCTCTCTCTCTCTATCAGTGCCTCTTCCCCCCTCCATCACTCTCTTTACAAGGCTCTAACATATGAGCTCCATTAGCCACACAGACCCCCAGCACTTACAGCCCCTAATCCTGTGCAGGGCATGAGCGGTGGGTCTCCACATCCTCCGCCAGCATCACCATCACTACATGGCAGGGTGCCCACTCTGCAGCTCCATTACCACAGAAGAGCTCAACAGCCCCCCCAGTTAATCCCTCGTCTGTCTCCTTCCCCCTCCGGCTGCTGACATCTTGGACACAGCAGATCTACAGACAGTATTTTACAGTTGTTACACACACTGAACTGAAACGCTGCAAGATAACAGCCGACACAAAAAGACACAAAATGCAAAATATGTCAAGTTTAATTTGCGCGAGAGCGGCTGAATTTCCCAGATACTGCATGATGGAGCTGTTAAGAGGCCGATCGGACTAAATGAGAGACAGACAGACCCCAGAGCCAAGACCATCAGATCTCATATAGATATAACATGCTGAAGATGCTGTGCAGAGATTACTGGACAAACATATCGGACATCATGTGAATAAAAGACGTCATGTGGTTCCCGCTCAGCTGCACGGCTGAACAGGATCCTTCCACACGCTGTTTGTCTTTGTCTTGCCAAATCCTAATTGAGTTTCCTGCTGTCTCTGAGCATATTGTTTAATGTTAATCACTTCTTTTGTATGAGCAGAATTACACAGAAGTGTAACAAATCGAATTTCCACCACAACGCAGGAGGGTTTGTTTTGTGCTGCTCCGAGACTCTCAAGCAACAGAGTGTTTAAACCTGCATTTACTGATTGTTTATTTACAAAAACATTGCAACATTAGCATTAATTTCCAGGCCACCTGACGGATATAAGTCCAGTATTAAAGCACAAACACCTGAGGGAATATCTGGCTCTTTAGCTAGCTAGCTTCACAGCTAACGTTTTGTTTTTGTTGTTGTTGTTGTTGTTTGACAATCGGTTTGTTTGTAAATACTTTCTTGATTTAAATCTGATAGTATTTAGGTTAATCTGTGATATACACCATTTATTCCTGCCCCCCCCCTTATGTCTGTGTAGCCTTGTGTTATCTGTGTTGACTTCAGTGCAGATTGCTGTGTGTTTAGTTGACCTCTGCTGAAGTTAAAGGGCCGCTGTTTTGAAATATGTTTCTCTTCATTCCCCTGTTTTTTTCAGCTTCATATTATATATTCAAAGTTTAGATAATGAAAGTCTGACACATATAAATAAGATCTGTTGCGCAGAAATACTGAACTATAAGTGACACACAAAACTCAAGTGACACTTGAATGCTACTTTCTCACACAATAACAATCCATAACCATAACGTACAGGATATCCTGCCTGCAGGGGTAATGGAGGCGTGAGCATGATTGACAGCAGTGAAACTGTTCCCATCCAGCAGAGTTGCATTGCATCCAAGTGTTTTCATTAAAGGGTGTTAACCTGCGTGCTTTCCGCCTCTATTCCTGGACTTCCTTTCGAATGCGGACGCCATTTCCTGCATAAAGTCAAAACAGCAACTATAACTGTTCAAATCTGAGCAAGAGCAAGAGAAAGCTAATGTTGAATAGCCTGCAGCAACCTCCTTCACAGACAGAGTGACTGACATAATGTTATCTAATACATCCAGGAGATTAGGAGGTTTTAAATATATTACAACTATCATTATTACGTTATTACTTTAAATATTATCTCTGCAGCAATGGTTTTTCCTGTGGGAGTGATCATCAGTCAGAGGCTGCCACTGATTATGATTATTAATTGGGGAGGAGTACTGTAGGAGAGGGAGGAGGGAGGAGGAGCAGCGAGGGGCTCACAAAGCAAGAGATCCTACTTCAAAGTCATCATCTGAATAATCTGCAGCTCTGGGTACGAGGTGAGGGAACGGCGGCAGTCCCGTCCCTGTAGCGGCTAATACAACAAGACGAGATCATGCTGAGATCCAAAAGCAAATACACAAAAGCAAAATGCAGCGGCGTATCGTTAAATAAATACACTGGGGTTCCTGCTGTAAAAGCCCCACTGACATCTAGCAAATTCACTGTGTAGCATTATCCTCCTGGGTGCTAACAGAGCTGAGGCTAAGCTGAGGGTTGCTGTGTGTGTAAACTTCCTTGTTGCATTAAGGGGAAGTTTACACACACAGCAACCTCAATGCTAACGTTAGCTAAACAGTGTTACATTCACCAAACACATCAGTTAGCCTCGCCTCATGTTCTTTATTCTCAAGTCTTCTACTGTAAAAACTTTTTACCTGGAACATGTAAGCAAAAGGCTAACCAGTTAAAGCTCAACACACATCTCCACTGCCAGCGGCCTCAATTGACCAGAATGCAATGCAGCAACTGCACAAACCTCTTTGTGGTCACTGCTCGTGTTAATTTTTACTGCAAAACAACTGACCCTTGTAGCACGACTCTCCACTTGCACAACCCTTTCTCTGAGTTGTTTCAAAGCATCATGGGAAATGTAGGAAATCAGTAACAGAATAAGAATTAAGTAAAGATGTTATACAAGTTATACAAAAAACAAATCAGTGTTTTGATTTCATCTTGTTTTTGCGATTGTTCTTGTGATGTACTGAACACTTACTGAAAACACTTCAAATGCAACAACCTGAGAAAATCCACCTTAAACTGCTCAAAATTCACATGCACATTAAGGCGGTAACCTGTAATCACAAGTGCTTCACAAGCCAAAAACTGTGTGGAAATGCTGGCACAGAAACAATGTGTGTATATGTGTGTCTGTGCGCTCTGCTTGTGTCGTGCATGATTCACTGTGGAGGACTCGCTGCAGCCAAGAACAAAAGGTGAGGGAACACCTGGTTCTCGCCGAGCTGGCGCGGCTGCAGACGTGTAAGAAAAAGGTGCAAAGAAGATGCGAGTTAAACAAACGGCACAACAAGCGTCCTGAAACACGCAGGAAACACAGAGGCCAGCAGACCTGTGGGCAGCCGGGGAGGGGCTCGAACAGACCGGCCTCTGTCTACCAGCCCCTCCCCTCCCCCAGCCCGTTTTCTCATTCCCCCTTCAGCAAGCTTCTGGGGTGATCGCACTGTGTGGAAACCTCGCTCCCAACACACACACACACACACACACACATATACACCTTCTCCCTTTTCCTCCCCCTTCCCACATCCTCTTCCTGCCTCATTAGCATGCAGGCGGCTCGTTGGTATTCCAACAGTGTGCTCTGCTATGATTTGATTAATGGAATTTGACTTCCAGCGTGGATCCCTGAAACGGGTACGGGCTTTTTGGAACAGTGAGGATGGGAGGGTGAGGATGGGGGAGGGGCGGGGTTGGAGAGGGGAGGTCCTGCGAGGGCAGAGATGCCTGGCGAGCCGGGGCAGACTCCTGCCAATTAGACTGAGAGAGAGAGAGAGAGAGAGAGAGAGAGAGAGCACCGATTCCCTGTAACACCTGAGGATGAGTGCGGCTGTGATCGCGTCCTGAGACTCACACAGAGCGAGAGAGAGAGAGAGAGAGAGAGCGGCGGCAGGATGGCCAGTGAAGAACTACAGCCAACCAGCGTGGCACGCCAAACTGTCTGTGGACCAATTTGTTCTGTGTTCACCTGGCAGAGCAACCAACACACCTGTGTGACACTCTCTGTGTCAATGCAGGCGTCCGCAGCCAAAGCACGGAGGGGGCGGTGGCGCAGCCAAATGGGAAACAGGTAAGAGTTAAGAAGCCAAATAAAAACTGACCAACCCACACACCACACACACACACACACACACCACACAACACACCACACACACACACACACACACACACACACACACACACACACACTCTGCTGGGTCTCATGAACATGCATTTATTCTTTTCAAAGCAGTGATCATTGTTCATTTTGGCACTTTACCTTTATTATGAGTCACAGTGAGAGAGAGAGAGAGAGAGAGAGAGAGACTCGAACCCGGGCCGCTGATCATTGTAAATTTAAAGTGACTGATAAGCTCCGCCCAACCAAATATAGCGACCACATGCAGTCCGGGTGTGTTGACCCAGGTTGAGTTGAAGGGGCTGTGGGTGTGATAAGCGGCCCCCTGCGTCCCTGCTGCTCCCCAGGATTAGCTCCACGCAGATAACGGCCACAGTCAGGTGACACATACCAGTGACAAATAACACGCTGCCACCGCCGCAGAGGTCAGGCTCAGTTATTACACGCCGCCACAGTCTGAGGGTTTGGGCTGACTCTGCAGAGCGAAGTTTCTTTTCGTAGTGAAAAACTGTTTCAGCTCTACTGAAGTTAATTTAGAATCTAAGAGCCGTGATTTAGATTAATCAATAAACAAATCTATATAAAATGTGTGTGAGGTGAGAGCGGCGTCCAGGAGCCTCTGAACGATGTCACGACTGAATGAATGAGCTTTAAATCAGCCACTCGGCCCCGTGCGGACGCTCTGTGCCGCCTTAATAATTGGAGTTACACCAATCAAAAGAACCAATTTTCCACATGAGCAGCTGCTAATATGAAATTTGCAATTCAATAATCATTTAAATAGTCAAAATTAACAGAGTGAAGGAGGAAACTTCACAGAACTTTACAGTGGATTAAAATAAAGAATAAAGAATAAAAGCTGTAGGTGTATCGAGGTAATATCACAATTTAGCTTTTTTTAAGAAATACATTAAAATTACAATTTAAAGCCAGAAAAACTTTAAAACTTCTCACTGAAGAAAACGAACTTGAATGTGAATAAATCTATTCCATAAAAACAAAAACATGGCAGCCTCTTCGCTAATTCCTACAACGAGTCCAACGTGTGAAATTACATCGACGCCCTTCCCCCTCAGATAACTGTGCCGCTCTCTGGGCGTCACAGCTACGAGCAGAAGATCGTTCCCATTTCAGCGAGAGGAGAATAACAAAGCTCTCGTAAAGAAGTCGGTGTCTCGGCGTGTTGGCAGGAAGTGATGTCCACGGAGCGAGCAGCCAATCCGCCGCCGCCGCCACCGAGCCAAGGAAGTGATATGTGTAAGTGTCTTGGACGCTAGTTGAAGATTGTTTGAAACGGGAGCCAAAAACACCCTGAACCTTCTGTGGATGGAAACCTCAGCCAACCCCATTTCATTCTTCTTCTTCTTCTATTATATTCTGAGAAAGTCTCTTAAAGAAACACACACACACACACACACACACTTCAGGGTAACATTCTGGTGTGTGTTCACCTGTATGGGTGACCAACACACGTGCCTGCATCTGTTCCCGGCATCAGTGTAATTAGACGACAGTGATCCGGAACTGGAGAGAGAACATCACCTTCGGAGGAAGAGGAGGAAGAGGAGGAGGAGGAGGAGGAGGAGGAGGAGAGCGAGCGAGCGGCGTTCAAAAAGGCAACAATTTCTTTCTTTTTTTTTTTTTTTTGTACATGAAATAAGTGGCCAGCCGGCGGCGTTGGCACAGTCATGGTCAGAGCAGGGGAGCGGGGACGGCGCTTGGCAGCGACGCCGGTACCTTCCTTTCCAATTTGCTGTCACTCGTTTGAAAAGCTGCAGAAAGAGTGAGGAAGCAGGGGACAGGAGCTCCCGCCGCCAACCCCCCCCCCCCCCCCCCACCACCCCCAATCCACCCCCACCTTGACTCTTTGATTCCAAATCAAGTGAAACCACTTTTACTCCTTGTAACTTTGAGCTACAAGGGCGAATTCCTGCCCCGGGGAACGCCGACCCATCCTCAGAGACCAGCGTGGAATCCGCTGAAGAGGGAGGAGGAGGAGGAGGTGACAGAGAGGAGAGGTCGAGAACGAGCGAGGAAGGGGCAGCTGCTGCGTTCACGTCACCACGGACGCATGGCAGAGTGAGGAAAAGGAATAAAGAGGAGGATAAAGAGTGAGGGGACGGAAAGCGCCCGATGACATGAGAGAAGAGACGATGACAAGAGAGCACCGAGGGCGAAGCTTTACGTTTCAAGAGGACGCAAAACGGCAACAGGTGGCGGCGATGGAGACCGAAGAGAGAGATATGTGGCGAGCAAGCAGGAGGAGGGGGGGGAGGCTGTCGGCAGCCAGGGAGGGGCTGTTGTGGAACAGGAGCCCCCTTCCTCTCATCTCCTCTCGGGCTCTCGACATATCTGTTGAGCCATCAGTCAGTCAGGCCTCTTCAGCACCTGTCTCCCGCTGCCTTCCTGAGGCCTGTCAGCCGCAGCCATCTCGCCGCTGACAGACTAATGCGCCCACACGAGCCGTCGCCTCCGCACATGCTCGGCCAGAGAGGAAGACAGCGATACACCGGGGGGGGGGACATGTGGAGGGGAGAGACAGGGAAGGAAACCCACAGATAAGACAGGAAATCATGATGAACCGAAAGAGAAAATACAGGAAAATATCTGGTTCTTCAGGGGGGAAATTAACTACGATTCCCAAGGTGCATTTCAGACTGACAAACTGACCTCACAAGCTGCAGCTTCAAATCAATTCACTTTTAAATTCTGGGTCAATTTTTAGACGAATTCAACCAGGAAGGATTTGAATTGATCTGCAGCCATGACTGGTTTCCCCTCCACAAGGACGGCAGCTGTGGCTCATGGGTGTTGTAGTGTTATTATATATTATATTATCATCTGAGTCCTGTGTTTCTATGTTGAAGAAATCGTTTAAAGAAGTAGGAAAGACATAAAAGATTCAACACGCTTTAAAAGCCGAGCTTCTATTCTATCCCCGACGTCACGATTTCCCACTTGTTGCATCTAAAACCCAAATATTTGAACTTTACTCGTCGTAAATTGATTGATTTTTTCTTGGTGAATGATTAATCAACAATCAAAATGACTTTCTTTAATCAACCGATTAATATTCGTTCCCCTTTCGGCAGGTGAAAGTGCGAGTTCAGCCACAGAGCCGCAGCTTTGGTGACTTATATTTCCCTTAAAGTGAAAGCTGGTTAGGACTTGAACGCCTCGTCACACACTGCGAGCCTCCAGCTAAAAGCAGAAACACAATCACTGAGGAAGCAGGAGTCTTACCCATGCCTGTGGGATCCCCGGGAGCGTCCGGAGTAGTAGGAATAGCCCGAGTAGGTGGACTCCGTGTCCATGGTGATTGCGGTTCCTGAGGGGGGGAGGGGCTGGGGGGTGTGGGGGGGTGCTGGACACGGAGGCCGCTCTGCTCGACCGCTGGCAGACGCGGCGGCGGAGGCTTGTGCGCTTGTCTTGCTGAGCTGGAAGCGATGGATGGACTCGCTCAGGAGGCTGGCAGAGGTGGCGAGCTGTCAGCAGTCAGGCTTGAAAGCGACCCTGGGGGCGCCCGGTGAGGAAACATCAACCTGGAGGGGGGTGGGGTGGGGGGGGTGGAGGAGGAGATATGAATTGAAAATGTGAAATGTCTGGGAAACGTGCCCACATGTGACTGTTAGAGACGGGAGGAGCCAGCGAGGATGAGACTGTGTCTGACATGGAACAAAGAGCATCACAGACTCGATCATTCCAGTCACAGGCTTTTTTCATCACATCTATTTTTACCTTGTTGGCGCTGCTCATGCATAAACCTTCATACGTGGCTGTGTTTCAATCAGCGTCCTGTGGCTACATCCCTGCACAGCGACAACACTCTCAGCTCTCAGGAGCTTTCTCTCCAGCTGAGCTTCCAACATAAAAAAAAAAAAAGAAAAATGAAACAGCAAATTTGCTCTTATTCCCATAAGACTGACAGCTGCTGTTCAGAGGCAGTTTGAAGTCTCTGACGCGCAATTTAAGGCCGACGCCGGCGCGCTTTTTCGAGACGCCGAGCACGAAGAGAGAGGGGCGGAGATAAAAGCTTCTTCTCAGAAACTTGGAGGTGTTCCCAGTTTGTGGAACAAGAACTTCAGAGAGCTGACGCTGTAGTTTTACCAACAGTTGACTGTGGACGTTACACCGGGAAGAAAACTCAAACAGACAACGCAACACAAGATCTGAAGAGGCGCGGAGAATCTCTGCAAACCCAACAATGTTTTACAGGTGATGATAATATGGATTATTATCATCTTTATCTATCGTTTAGAACCAGATATCGCACTTGACCAACGTTACGGGTTCGATAATATTTCGATGAACCTGCATTGAGTCATTTCCAGTCAGATCGAGCCACGACAGACTGACGAAGCAACTCCCTGCAGCCCGCATGAGGAGCGAGTACCGGGCGATAAGAGGCTGTTCACTGGGTGCGTTTGAGTCAGTATGATCGGAGCGAGCGGGGCAGAGATATGAGAAAGTGAAAGACGAGAGCGGTGGAGAGGTGGAGAGATACAATCGGCTCAGAGTCATTAAAAGCACTGCACAAAAGGGGGGCGGGGGGATGAGATGTGAGTCATAGGTAGCTTGAGGCATGCTGGGAACACACTTGTTTGAAGTACATGCATGACACACACACACACACACACACACACACACTGCTCTGGGTCAGATGACAAACGTGTGAATTACACAGGTAGTTAAAGCTCAACTCAAACAGACCTAAATCAAACCTCCGCTCAGACAACACGTCCTCCTCCGTACACGAGCGCTCTGAGCCGCGAGCCCGATGGAGAGAGGAAGACAGGTCCGGCCGACATTAACCTTAAGTTAACAATTTCGAGGTTAGGTGACGCCATGTTTGAGTGCTGAAGTTATCTGTTAAGAGTCCTCCAGAGTCCGTCTGAAGCCGCCCTGAAACTCTCAGGCCGAGGCTTCCCGCACACACACAAAGATTTACGGCTGATTTATGGCTCCAGTTGCCTTGAAGGTGGTGAGAAGACATCCCTGCTTTTCTGCATTCACAACTCCAGGGAAAGAAGAAGAAGAAGAAGAAGAAGAAGAGTCACTTAGCCAGATTTAGTGCACAAACTACAATCCTTATCTGCCACTTGGAGGGGAAACACACATCACTGGGTTCAAAAATACACTGTGGCACAAAACATCTAGTGTGACCCAGTTCTTAGGGAGTGTGGTGTTGGCACATCTGTGACTGTGTGTGTGTGTGTGTATGTGTGTGTGTGTGTGTGTGCATGTGCGTGACTGTCGCAGGCTCCTGAAAATGCTTTGAAGGTTGTGCAACTGCATATTTGGATACGCTCATTCTGCAAATCATTCTAAATGCCTGAATCATCCCCATGTGGTGACAAAATCCTCCCTCAACTGGTTCTCCACAGTCTCTCTGCCAGCCAGCTGCACTGCCGGATACTTCCAGTGAAGCTGGGTTTTTTCGAAAGCTTCTGTTAACACGAGGATCTTTTTCTTTTTTAAATCTCCTCTGGTGTAAACACGTCATGAACAGATGGCTTTCTTTCTTTTTTATTTATCTTAGCGATTCAGACGTGGAAATGGAGCCGTCTGTCTGATTAAAGCAGCGGACTTAAATTCAAATTACCTGGGGTCCACTCGTCATGTTCTTCCCTCCCGGAGGACCACATGTTAGAGGGATAGATTCAGATTTTGGGACTGATCTGAGTTAGAAGAGAAGATTTGAAGCTAGAGCCAGCAGCTGCTTAGCGTTAGCATTAGCCTGTCTCCATCCAAAACCTTGGTTTGTTTTATCTATACAAAAAATTAAAGTATACAAACAACCAAATACTGATTTACATACATTTGTCCATACCCAGTCTTTATGCTAAGCTATGATAGCTAGCTGCTAGTGGTAGCTTCATATTTCCTGCATGGACATGCAGGTGGAATCAGTCTTCACACCTGTGCACCAGAATTAGCAGGTCTAAGCAGGTTATTTAAATGGGAGTAAACCTAATGAAAAAAGGTGAGGGACTCACTCACACACACACACACACACACACACACACACACAGAGCTGAGGACTGGTAAAACAGATCTGTCACATCTTATCCCCGGGTTGGTGCAACTGTAAAAGGTAATCGTGCGTTTTTGAAACTTATTCCGGGGCTGCAGCTTCACTCTTTCATGACCCAAGCGCAACGGTATAACAGTGCCGTACTTGCTAATGGTGACAGGTGTGTTTGCAGTGTCTGCGCTCTGAAAGACGCAACAGCTCAGATGTAACGACGCGAAAACCAGCGCGTTCCACCAGGAAGTTGTGTTTACATCAATGCTGAATGGAGCCGATAAATGACCAGGATGTAAATGCAGATTTCACCAGTGGAAAATGGTTCTACAGTAGCTCAGTGCAAGAGAGCAAGAGAGTTTTCCTTTAAAAATGTGTAATAAAAACCTGGGTTGGTAAGTGGCCAGGCCCACTGCTCTACTACAGGAATCCACCTATTGAATAATGGCTGCTAAGTAAAGCTGGACACCATCGCAGAGGCATTTCCATCACCTGCTTTAATCCTCTTAAAAGAAGGGCACGCGGCTCAATGAGGGATTAATGAGCCCGGGTCCAGGTTCAGTCAGAGTGCAGCCATGAGGAAAGAGAGCGGCCAAGGTTAAAAGCTGATCGATTACTCCCTGCTCCGGACTGTTTCCGCTTAAAATGCAGGACTCCGCGTCTTCACACCTTGGCCTCTATTTCAAATAATTTATACGGAGCAAGTGCACATCGCCAGGCCGGGCCCCGAGGTCAACATCACATTGAAGTGAAACAGGATAGGTGGGTGTTTCTAACATGTGGTTTCTGCCTTTGCAATGCCAGAGAAAACTTGTAAGAGGAACCACTTCAAGTTTGCAGGGAGACTCCAAAGCTGAAATAGGAATCCCCGACTCTGAGAGGGAGGGAGGGAGGAGAGGGAGGGAGGAGGGGGAGGCCTGGCAAGTTCTTCACAGTAATCCAAGCCCCCTGCTGAGCTGCCGGCTTGTCTGTTTGTCCTGGCAAACAGTGGCAACAAGCAGTGAGAGAGGAGGAAGGGCAAAATTATATCATGGCGATCGGGCATGAAGGGTACAGTCTCACAAGGATACTTCATGCACTTTGTGAGATTTCCTGTGCGCCAAACTCCCTGACGTAACACTGCACCTGGGCGATTTAACTTTGATCTGCAGAACAAAAAAAAATAAAATAAAAGAATTATAAGACTCAGGTGTCGGCACAAAACACTCCGCCTTTCCTGAAAGATAAAAAGCAAACAGGTGTGACAAACCAAGCGCACGGCAACAGAATAAACATCCAGTGGCCTGAACAGGAGATGTAAACAAACAGCCTCATGTAAACAGCCCAAGAAGATAGTTCCCTCTCTGAGCAGAGAGCTGGAGCACAGTAACACCGGAGCCACGAGACGTCTGCCGCTCGGCTGCACCGTTCACATCGCACCCAATAAAAGCCGCCAGCCATTCAACTATCAGCGGCTGATGTGAATATATACACTAGACATACCAACAGTTTTACACTGTAACTGTGGATGTTTTGAACAGCTCGTGGATTCAACTACAGATCATAAAACACAGCAATGTCTGTCTTATAGTGTCCTTTGTGTTTCAGTGTATAAGGTCTCTAAGGAATTATATTTCTAGATAAGACGACAATAAAAGAAGCAAAAAGAGGGAAAAAGGGAGAAGATTAGCCTTAATATCCAATTAATATAACCACAGGAGCACGACAGCAGAGATTAAAGCTCCTCCAGTGTAAAGGTCTCTGTCCATGTGTAGTGTGATTATAGATCAGCTCTAGCTTCTATATTAATACTGTGAAAGTATCAAAGCCTCAGTCCACAGAGAAATGCACACAGCCTGTATTCAGAAACTGAGCCTTAAAACCAGCCGTCAGGACTTCCTGTAACTTTGTGATGTCACAACGAAGAATGTTTACCTGAAATCTGCTGTGTTTTATATCAGATCACTCATAAGCCTCAGCCTCATTTTCCCTGATCAATCAAACAGTCAGTGATTCGTATCCTACTTAATTCATTTAGGGCTTCCTCCAGGTCTTGGTGGTGATCCCACAGTAATCCCCCTGAAACATTCGTCCTGTCTCTGCCTGTTGATCATTACTCATAACATGCAGTCTATCTGCAATCTGATAATACTAACAGCTATTCCCTCCAGTTTGTTGTGACACCACAGAAGATGAAGTACAGCAGCACCTCTCTCTCTCTCTCTCTCTCTCTCTCTCTCTCAGTCGTATCCATGTAGCCGTCTCCAAAACTGGCCTGGTCAGTTTGTATAACTTCACGTTTTCAGCTCTTGGTTTGTTTATA